TGCACGAAAACCAAAGGAAGGAGCCGAGCGAACAGCTAAAAAGCTCTTCCGGGTACTTGTTACCTTCAACAGGCAAGAGCAGATCAATGTGCTTGTTCTCGAGCCAAAACGCCAATGTCTTCTTCGCCTTCTGCGTAGTGAAAGCTTCAGGCTCCAGCCGGCTATCTGCGGGCACAACCACAATGTTGACCTGCCAGCTGCGCGCAAGTGCCCTAAGCTCAAGGTCCGAGGCATAGGCTGACTCCTGCCCAACCAATTTGATATACCCCTCGAAGTCAAGATTAGGGTCTGGCTTTCCTCCGGTGTCACACTTGTCCCAAAGGCCAACATAGCGGTCTTTATGCTGCAGCAAGTGGTTGACCACACCAGCCCTGAGCTCCTGGCATGTGGAGGTGACTTCTCAGGCCCATGCAACCAGCCAAGTCCCGCAGCAAAAGCATGGTTACGCACGAGCCATCACCCGGCACGATATGTACCTTGCATCCAGTCGGCACACCCCGAGCCAAAGTCTTGGCCTTCTTGGCAACCCCTTGCTCCTTATCGCCATCCTCAGCGCATGTGGCAATTGACACAGGCTGCGGCTCAAAGATGGAGGTCCTCGGCGCAAGAGACAAAACCGACGAACCCTTCAGGACCCGCTGCTGGCGGACACGATTCCGAGGAGGGGCAATCGTCGCCCACAGTGTCAGCGTGTCATTACCATCCCTGGCAGTTAAAGGCACAAGATCTCGGTCGGCCTCCTTGGAAGCAGCACGAAAGTAAAACACCTTGAACTTCTTCTTGCGAAGCTGCCTGAGCATTTTGATGTTCTCAAAGGACGGTGCAAGCAACTCAGTGATTTGATCAACATGCCAAGTCAAATGGCACCCAAGGCAACGCCCATACCCGCTCAACAAGGTCGGTGCTGGATCGCAAAGCAACATGCCCAAGCCGCCCAGCTCGGTGCGCAAGGCCAAGATCACCAGCAGAGCGAAGCATGCGCGACAGGTAGTCTGGCATGTTTTCACCTTTTTCGGCATCTACCCAGTTGACCTTAACCGCAACTTTTGGCTGGCCGCTGGACGACTCACGCGTCAACTCAAGGAAAATGCCATCACGTCCTGACAAAGCAAGCACAGAGGTGATGTCAGGCTCAAGGATGCGAATCAACCCATAGAGCTGGCTGCCTTTGTCAACTTGCTCTTCCTTCCAACCCCAGGCGTCAAGAGCGTTGATGTGCAAGTTGCTCAACCACTGCATGACCACACGGGAGGGGTTCTTGAGGAACTGTTTCCACAGCTGGTCCGTTGCGAAAGCCTGTGGCACTCTAACATGGAGCACTGCAGAGGGCTTACGGACAACAGCAAAGGTCTCCTTGACGCCTGCGACGCAAGGGACAACCTGCTTGGCATCCGATTTGAGAAACCCGGTCTTTGCCCTCCTGAACTGCAGCTGATCTTGGACAAGCCCTGGCACCCGCTCGGTGCCTTCTGCGTCAAGAACCACAAGTGAGATGGAATACTGCTTTCAACATCCAAGCACCATAGCACGAATGATCTCCGCCTGCTCCTTGCTACACAGAACAACCCCAGTCAAAGGCTGACCGGTCTGCAAGGCTTCAAGCTTCTCAGCTATCTTTGTTGGATCAAGCAGCGGCTTATCCCAATCTTGAGCTCTCAATCTGAACTTCTTATCCGGTGATGGGCGGGGCTTGGGACCAACCTTTGTCCAACCCTCACTATCCGGCGACGATGCTGAGTTGCCATTGCCTTTGCCTTTGTTGAGGGACCCGGTCTTGGGCTCAGCTCCACGGCCATCGACCCCCGATTTGGCTGAAGTAGCCTGTTGCGAAGAAAGCTTCCCTCCGCCTTTGCCCTTGTCCTTGCCCTTCTGGCTTTCTGCACCTTTCTGCTGACTGGCGCCGTTTGCTTGAGCTTCAGCCTGTGCCTCACCTTTTCCTTGGCGCTTGCGGCGCTTGCGACCTTTGCCGTCCTGAGTCTCTCCTTTGGCATCAGGGACCTGCGGCGCCGCTGGGGCAATGCCAGCGCCACTCAATCCTTGGAGCGCTTGCCGCACCGCCTCCTGCACGGCCTGCTGAATGTACTTGTAGATTTCCTCTGCAAAGCCTGGTCCAAGAAGGTTGGACACATCAAAAGCAGGACCGCACTTTCACCTGACCTGCCTGGGCACCTACATGCACCTGAGGTCCTGGGCTGCGGCACGCAAACTGGATGGGAACCTGAAAGTGCAACCTGAGCCTGACGCTGCATTGACGTGCACCTGGGGCGCCCTCTCACCTGACCTGCTGGGGCACCCACATGCACCTGAAGCCCTTGACTGCGGCATGCAACCTGAGTCCAAACCTGAAAGGGCAACCTGAGCCGGCATTCATCCTCGATCTCTGGCACGGACACACAACCTGGAACAAAGCCTGCAGGCACCTCAGGAAACGGTCCTGACACAGCGGCAACCTGAGCATGACACACGCAAACCTGATTACCATGTTCACTGTCACTCAAGGGAAAGCTGCAGCTGCCAGTCATATTCAGTCATCTCCCCTGACAACCCAGGGCACTTGGACAAGTCACGAGGCACATTGCACTGCACAACGCCCTGCGGAAAGTACACCGTACCCCAAGATCCCTTACACCCCTTGGCCACGCAAGCTGGCTCTTGGTCCTTCAGCGGATCTTGTTGCACTCTTCTAGGTTTTCGGGTCCTGTCCCCAACCCTTTTTCTTCCAGGTTTTTGGGTCCTGTCCCGATGTTTGATCACTTTTCTTGATCTTTGGGTCCGGTCCCGAGTAGCTACATCCCCACTACAAAGCCCAAACCCCTCAGAAGCCGCCCTCGCATGTCCAGCGCCAATCGAAGCATCACATGCACTGAGCCCTTCACCGCCTTCGTCTTTGTCTCCCGGCCGCCCATCGCCGCTGCCATCCAAGGCAGCCTGTTCCCTCGCAGTCACTGCAAGAGATGACTCCACCATTTGGAGCAGAATCAGTTGATCCCGCCCTTTTGCACTTTCCAGTCTCCAGCTCCGCCACCAAACCCGGTGGGTGCCCGAACTCTTCTTCTCCAAACCAAAGCATGCTGGGCACCAAGCCCCATGCCAGCATGCACTTCATCTCCTGCGCGACGAAAAGCGCACGAGCCTCTTTTGCCTGCACGATGAAGTCCACCAAGCAGCTGATCTTCCTGAAGTGTTCCGCATCCACAGCGCCACCAAGCGCCGCCGATGCTCCCCGGCTGCTGCCTCCCCGGCAGCATCGATTCTTGTACTGCAACCTTTCATCGTGCCGATTTCGCCAGCGTGTAAAGCTTGAGCAATTGAATCCAAAGAGTAGGCTTGGATTCTCATCCCTCTTCAACTCGGCCTCCATGGCCTTGATCTTTCCTCGAAGTCGATGTTCATGAACGGACCAGCCGCCCGAGGAGGGAGCCATTGCCTGCACCCTGCCACACGCTAGCAGATTGGCCGCCCCTACCGGCGTTGCCCGCTTTGGAGCGCTAGGAGCTTCTGCTAAGCCAAAGCTTGATGCAGTCGTGCTCTCTGTCTTCCCCATGCCCGTTCCGAACGCACCAAAGTACGCGCAGCAGGCACGAGGCTCAAGTCACTTTGAAAAGTTTGATCCAAACTGAAACCCCCTCACCTACGGCAAAGAGGCAACAAACTCACGCACACAGCGAAAACCATGTGTCAC